CTGGTCAACTACAGGAGTATACTGCCTTAACTCCTGGTTTGGGTTTAATATGGTTATTTTTAGTTTGTGGGTTTGCGGATTTCTTCAATAGTAGATGGGGTGCCATAGTGTTTTCACAAGTGTTCAATGTGTTGGGAAATACACTTTTGGCGATTTGGGATATTCCAGAAGGTGCTGAATGGTTTGCTTTTTGTTTGCAGTATTTTGGTTGGGCGATGTCTCCGGTTTTATATTCTTGGCAAGGTGACATTTGTCGTGAAGATATTAGAGAGAGACAAGTGGTATTGGTGTGTATGAATATGTTGGCACAACAAACAACTGCTTGGATTGCCGTCCTTGTCTGGAGAACGGTAGAAGCTCCCCGATTCTTGAAAGGTTTCACATTTACTGCTTCTTCTGGTGTTGCATTATGTATTTGGACCTTTGTTGTGTTGTGGTTCTATAAGCGCCAGGAACGAGCTAATGCTAGGGAAAACGGCATTGTGCTTTACAATTCAGACAAGCAAGATTTGGAAGTTTCCTCAAAAAGCGATTAGCTAATAGTTGCGTTTTTATATAAATTATATTGCTCTCTGATAGTCTCTAATAAAGTTTTAAGAGCCTTTGGCAACACTTCTTTTTAATTCCTTTCAATTAGATGGGGTATGTTTACCCAGCAAAAGGAGCTGCAAAGACCCTTCTAAAGCAACCAATTCTTGCAATGCCATGGGGCAATACTCTTTGAGAATTAGTTTCTGTTTTATGCCTTGCTTTTGCAAGGGTCCTGACGTTCAGCAAATGCTTTTATTTTTTAATAATATATCGATAGTTCCTCTATGAGCATTAGTTAACAGTTGAAAGCAAATGTGGATTTGAAAAACCTCAAATACACAAGCTGGTGATTGTGGGAAGCTATAAGTAAATTACTTCATCACTTCCTGAACTAAGCAGACATGGGGTTTGTATTCCTGAATAGGCTGCCCCTTAATTCATAAGGTATGTTTCTTAACCTCTAATGTGGGTGACCCTCTGTAGCCTTTACAATCGAATAATCAAGTATATGATAGACTAGAATTCGTAAGGCGTCAAATTATAGTCACTTAAGTGTCGATTGATTACAAATGAAACAAGTAGTAAGGAACTATGTAAATTCAAACCTTCTACCTTCTACTTTTCCAGGTGCTTTCATGTAGATCTATGAATATCAATAGCAGAAATAAGTACTCAAATTACGCAAGAAGCTAGAGAGACAACAAAAGTATTGTGAACTATCTCGGTATTTATGGTAGTACTCTGTTGAAAAAAATGTACGGGGGAGTATGTTAAGGGCTTCGGTGCTTGTATGCATGCTGGTTGAATCTGACTAGCTGGGAGCTTGTATGATCTTGACAGTACTCCTCTGTTTAGCTTTTATCAAGAATGAGAAAAATTTTCAGTACACTTTCAGGTAAAACCTACTTGAAGGAAGCCAATCCCCCTTTCTTATCCAATAGAGATATTATTATATTGAAGCTTGTCTTGAACATAATTTTGCTTAATTATAAGCCCAAGAAATATTGGAAATTGACTCATGAATAACCATTAGTCACTCTCTTTGATGCAATTACTGCGAAACCAAAATGTGTGACCTTTAATCTTTGCCTAATTTCTTGGTATCCTAACCACACCCAAGATAATTACAAGTCACAAACATAGAGATGAATCATATAGCGGTGCTAGAGACAAATCAAAGATTGAAAGCCACGGCGAATTCTGTTGTAAACGATCACGTGAACTATCGAAATTGGATCAATTTTTTTCTTGGTATTTAAATTTTATACATTAATTGCAAAATTATTGACAATTTATTTTTTTAACTTTTCAGCCTGGAACGGCGTACGTTTTGTGTTAATATTTCCGGTCTACTTTTTTGATAGCTTGAGAAGAGTTCTCACATTACGTTCATCGATGACAGTTGGCAATAGGACAGACTTTGCTTTCTTACACCTCTTCCGCAAATTTCCAAATGGTTCGAACGATAACCAGAAAAGTGGGAAAAAAATCAGATTTTGAACAATTACTAAAAGCCACGATTAGTTGGCTATAGTTTTAGCCGATCCGCCAAAAAATATTAAACGTTGAGTCCAACCTAATTTAATTTTTTTTCTTGTTTTCCTCTGATATCCACAGGCCCTCTTCCTGTGGCTCTAACCTAACCATTGCATAACCCACATTTTACGAACTATAAATAATGGTTATTTCGTCATGTCTGTAATTTAATTTTTTCTTCTAGTTTTCCAATAACCAGAAAATGAGTAAAGTTGCTACATATTTCGGTAGATTGAAATGGGGGTTTTTACCTCAGAGAAGAATTGTCGATGAAGATGAGTTCGGTAACTTTATTGATACCCAGGAAGAATCCAGTGATGTTGACT